CTCCTTCTCTACAGTATTTACCTTTATCTCCCTATCAATCTCTTTTGCTCTTATTCAAGCAACATAAACGCAAATTATCTAGGGAAATTCATATCTCAGCAAAATAACAGCAACACTTGATGAGCAAAGAGCAAATACTGAAATCACGACAATAGGGTGGCGTAAGGCATTAAAATATAAGCTTGCAAGGTTGCAGGTTCAGAGCGCAGGAGAGATTCATGAGATTTGACTATTGTGCCCAGAAGTAAAACATGTCATTGTCACAGGTTGCTCCAAACAAACTGTCCCATAGTCAAAAATGTCAAGTCTTGTCGGTGAAAAAATTATCAGAGCATTGTTGTTCCTTTTAACTAAAATAAAGCTGAAATATATATAAATATTAGATGAAAAAAATAAAGTTAAAAGTAGAATTTTATGAAAACTGAAATAAAGATAAATTAAAGCTAAATAGAAATATTACAAAATAAGAAAATACTATATAAATATATACATGTATAGCTCATTCACAATTTTTATACTATAATGGTATATAAATAATACTAAATAACACTAAACCAGAATAACAACCACAAGCATTCTTCTTACATGCATACCAATGTACTGTATCTACTCAAACCAGATCAAAATTCTCTTTTATAAATGGAATTGGATCACAGCATTAAATAAATGTTTTGTTGTTACATTTGCAGAAATAAAACCAACATGTTGACTTCTAAAACCATTGTCGTCTATTCAACGGTTTATACATCTGCCACAATAATATATTTGAGTAATCTTTATTTGAAAGCTTTTCTCAGCAAATATTGAATTATGGGATTAATTGGGATTAGTTTGCTTACTTAATCAGCATATACTGTAATGTAATTAATTCAATTAAATTTTTTTTATCAATTGACAGTCCTACTAATAAGCTTTTTATCAACATACATTTTGACTCTGTAAAAATGCTGAGCAGTGACTGTATTCATATATACTGTATATCAAACCTACTAAAGCATTTTTTGGAAAATGTAGGATCACAATGCATCGATCCAGAAATCAATTTCCTTGGCACATCATCACCCGTTACAGCAATGCTTTGAGGGGTGTAGTAAATGTTTCTCTAGGAGAAAATAAACAGCCATGCATAATGCTGCCTCGTGTGAGAGGCCTGTTTGATCGCTATCCTGAGCATCCATCATCCCAACCCCGGCCTGTAACATCACCACTACTGCACCCCTTCTGCCGCAGAGGCTGTTCCTAAGCAACCATCCCCAGCAACCAGATTGCCATGGAAACCAAAGAGGGAAATCAAGGAGAGGGGAGAGGGGAGAGGCCCTTCACATACTTGGGATGTGAGAAATTAGGGGATATTCCAACCTAGAAATATCGGTTTGCACGACGTTCAACCCTTAAATTGTGACTTCTGTTTGTTTTTGTAAATTATATATTTTTTAATGGCCTGTATGCATAAGATGATGAAAGTCAATTCACCAGATATATACAGCACAGCGCTAGTGTCTCTCTTTCTGATCTGCGCTGGGTGTAAACAGAGGAAAATATAACACCACTGAAAGCCAATGAATTCAAGGCCTTCCAGTGACAGCTTATCATTTCATCAGTCTTCTCCTGCGGAGACACAGAAAGGTCACCATCACCCAGTCCCCAGCCATACGGCTGCCTCCCTCTGTCTGATCTCTTTCCTCCATCTCCTTCTCCACAGTATTTACCTTTATCTCCCTATCAATCTCTTTTGCTCTTATTCAAGCAATATAAACACAAATTATCTAGGGAAATTCATATCTCAGCAAAATAACAGCAACACTTGATGAGCAAAGAGCAAATACTGAAATCACGACAATAGGGTGGCGTAAGGCATTAAAATATAAGATTGCAAGGTTGCAGGTTCAGAGCGCAGGAGAGATTCATGAGATTTGACTATTGTGCCCAGAAGTAAAACATGTCATTGTCACAGGTTGCTCCAAACAAACTGTCCCATAGTCAAAAATGTCAAGTCTTGTCGGTGAAAAAATTATCAGAGCATTGTTGTTCCTTTTAACTAAAATAAAGCTGAAATATATATAAATATTAGATGAAAAAAATAAAGTTAAAAGTAGAATTTTATGAAAACTGAAATAAAGATAAATTAAAGCTAAATAGAAATATTACAAAATAAGAAAATACTATATAAATATATACATGTATAGCTCATTCAAAATGTTTATACAATAATAGCATATAAATAATACTAAATAACACTAAACCAGAATAACAACCATAAGCATTCTTCTTACATGCATACCAATGTACTGTATCTACTCAAACCAGATCAAAATTCTCTTTTATAAATGGAATTGGATCACAGCATTAAATAAATGTTTTGTTGTTACATTCTAAAGCAGAGAGCAAACTCATTTATTTTGTTTGTTTAAAAGTAAAGTCTGAAAGTAGTCCCAGCTTTTCATTTACAGTACTCATTTTTGGCTCATTGCCACCAACTTCTTCTAACACAAACAAGTACAGCTCTAGCAACTCTAAATATGGTTTCACCAAATAACTGAGCAAAAAAAGCAGGTCACTGAAGAAGGAGAGAGTGAGGAACGGACTGACCTCTTTGAGATGATGATGTATGAGCAACCTCACCTTTAGAGAAACCAGTGCAGGGCGCTCAAAAAACATCTTGTTTGACTAACTAAGGTAAAAGTCAGGAGACTAGCTTTGCTTTATTTAAAGCTGAAGTGTGTCATTTATGCACCACAAGCATCTCCTTATCCACGGGCTTCTGACAAATACAGTGAGTCCACTGATCTATCCAAATAGTTCTTTCAACCAAATAATAGTATCATATACTGCATCCTACAGTATTTACCTTTATCTCCCTATCAATCTCTTTTGCTCTTATTCAAGCAACATAAACGCAAATTATCTAGGGAAATTCATATCTCAGCAAAATAACAGCAACACTTGATGAGCAAAGAGCAAATACTGAAATCACGACAATAGGGTGGCGTAAGGCATTAAAATATAAGCTTGCAAGGTTGCAGGTTCAGAGCGCAGGAGAGATTCATGAGATTTGACTATTGTGCCCAGAAGTAAAACATGTCATTGTCACAGGTTGCTCCAAACAAACTGTCCCATAGTCAAAAATGTCAAGTCTTGTCGGTGAAAAAATTATCAGAGCATTGTTGTTCCTTTTAACTAAAATAAAGCTGAAATATATATAAATATTAGATGAAAAAAATAAAGTTAAAAGTAGAATTTTATGAAAACTGAAATAAAGATAAATTAAAGCTAAATAGAAATATTACAAAATAAGAAAATACTATATAAATATATACATGTATAGCTCATTCACAATTTTTATACTATAATGGTATATAAATAATACTAAATAACACTAAACCAGAATAACAACCACAAGCATTCTTCTTACATGCATACCAATGTACTGTATCTACTCAAACCAGATCAAAATTCTCTTTTATAAATGGAATTGGATCACAGCATTAAATAAATGTTTTGTTGTTACATTCTAAAGCAGAGAGCAAACTCATTTATTTTATGTTTGTTTAAAAGTAAAGTCTGAAAGTAGTCCCAGCATTTCATTTACAGTACTCATTTTTGGCTCATTACCACCAACTTCTTCTAACACAAACAAGTACAGCTCTAGCAACTCTAAATATGGTTTCACCAAATAACTGAGCAAAAAAAGCAGGTCACTGAAGAAGGAGAGAGTGAGGAACGGACTGACCTCTTTGAGATGATGATGTATGAGCAACCTCACCTTTAGAGAAACCAGTGCAGGGCGCTCAAAAAACATCTTGTTTGACTAACTAAGGTAAAAGTCAGGAGACTAGCTTTGCTTTATTTAAAGCTGAAGTGTGTCATTTATGCACCACAAGCATCTCCTTATCCACGGGCTTCTGACAAATACAGTGAGTCCACTGATCTATCCAAATACTCTTGAAAACTGTCCTGGCACAGAGGTGAGTAGGCTGTATATATATTAATATACATATCATTCTAGTTAAGTTGATTTTCTAGACGAGCTCCACCTGTGCTGAACTGATTGATTATCTGAACGTGCTCATCCTGAACCTTCTTAATAAAACATCAATTGGAGAAATTCAGCATTACATCACTTGCTCACCAATGGTAGTGAATGGGTGCCGTCACAATAATCCATATATGACTTATATTACGTCATAAGCATAACTACAGTCCATCAGTTAACATCTTGTAAAAAGACAAACTGTGTGTTTGTAATAAAAAAAGTCAAACCTTTGTTTACAGCTAAAATATGAGTCCTCTAACCACAATATTGCTTTCTTCGGTTAAAAAGTTGCCTCAATCAGGAGAGAAATGTGCACAGATCAGGCTTTCTACAGTTATAAACAAACATGTTGGATTTTGATGTGAGAGTGCAACAGCGAAGGTACTTTCACTGAAGAAAGCAATTTTATGGATTATGGACTTGTATTTTGGCCAGAAGCGATGATTTAAAGTTGAAATGTCTGAATGATAAATTTGTTTCTTACAACCACACAGCTTTTCACTTCACATGACATTAATTGATGGAGTCATAACTGCCATTCACATCAGAGCATAAGGAATAAATGGATTAAAATGACCAATTAAACACTGGTATGTATTATTTAAAGAGCAAATCCGGTCTTAATTGGTTTTCAGATTCTTTATGGCTTTAGATATCATCAGAAAAAGAATGCACCACTGGAAAGTCTCATTTTAAGATAGTAACGTGTCTAGTACCAGCAATAAACCAGCTACAAGCAGGTTGTCAGTGTTTAAAGTGGTCTTTCTTGGGACAGCTAATAATAACCACTTTAGACTAGCTCCAAAACCAGAATTTTCCAGCCTGTTGTCTTCATGTGGAGAACAGGTACAAATCCAAACCGACACATGCGATCTAATGCACAGTTGACCATGTATGTCAAGTTGAACAAGAAGAAACAAAAGATACTGGTGTCCCTAAACCTCCATATACAGACACCCAGGCTCACCTTCCACCAGCTGATCCATGCTGGTAATCTTCGACCCGTCAATGGTATAAATGGTCCGGACGCCCTGAGGCAGATTTATATTATCTGATAGGGAGCGGGTGAGGTCTGCGAGCAGAGCATCGAAAGACCTGAATCTGTCATTGGAAATAGCGTACACAATCCCTTTGAAGTACCGGTCTCCATTGCGGTAGAACCGGACCCTCTTGGCTTTCTTTTCCGAGCTCAGAGCCTGTAGGGTCCGGGTTCGGTACAGGCTGCAGTGGGCGCTGTGCGTGGGGCTCGGGAGGCCGTTCGCACGTGAACCCGCACGGCTGTATCTTTGTGCTTTGTCCCGTTCATCGAAATGCTCCAGCTCCATGTCAACACCCGGGGCTGTAGTATCTCTGTGGAAAATTGTGGATAGATGAGTAATGTTAAAATTATAATTGCATTAATTCTGAATATCACCCGACTTTTTCCCCCCCTGTATAAAAAATGTATTTGTGCATATAGCCTACTTGTTAATAAGTAGGCCTATTGCACATTATGCTATGCTCTGTATAATAAAATAAGCATCTGGAAATGTACATTTCCGTGCGCTTATCCAACTGACAAAAATAACATAGAATTAAAAAGACATTATAGAAAATGTTCAATATATGTTTTAAATAGGCTAATGTGTTATTGTTTTATAATTATAGGCTATAACATAATATATTTTAATAATTAATATTCAAGTTATTTAAATACGCCCAAAGGGAAAGCACAATGAAGAAATCGTGATTACATGTTTCATCAATTAAAAGGCGATATGAATGCACTAATAAATATAAATGTGCGGTGCATTTTGCTTCAAAAAAGCATATTCATCTTACTTGTGCGAGTGTATCCGATGAGCACAGTCGATATGAAAGCACACATCTAATGGCTTGTCATCTCTTCCAGAGGATGCTAGAGATGGTTTTAAGAGCAGGAGGAGAGGAGAATCATGTGCTCTGCTGTGCTGGATGGGGCGGATGGGCTGCAGCCGGTGTCTGTCTGCCCCTTTCGCTCTTTAGGTTAGAATATCCCTCGCTTCAATGCAGACTGGCAGCCTTTGTCGTATTGAGGGGGGGAGGGGGGACCTCAATGAATGAGCTGCCTACCTAGACACCTCGACTGTCTCAAATGCAGGTCCTCGCGGGTGGGAAGGAGACTGCCCCGCGCCGCTTGCAGTCCAGCAGAGACAATTCAACGGTACATGATCTATTCAAACGGACTTATAAATGTAAATAAATAAAAATAAATGAGCTATGATAGCATATGAACTGAACTTTGAGTCATCATATAATCCAGTCACATCCACTATTGTCTGCCTAAACCAAGGTAGATCCCAGTGTTGGGGAAAGTTACTTTTAAAAGTAATGCATTACAATATTGCGTTACTCCATAAAAACGAATTACGTTACTTAGATCCTTTATTGCACCAATGAGACCTGACTCTAGACCCAATTAGGCCTATTTTTCATAGTTCAACAGTATGATCAAGAGACTTTTTTTTTTTAATTTATAGCTGCAGCAAATTATGATTTTCAAATTCACTTACGAAACCCTTATACCAAAATGCCAAAAGATGCAGGGTTTTCTATGATTTTGTAATACAAAAATAGGCTACATTTGTGGATATAAGTGTACTACTAAGAATACAAGTGTATCACAATGTTTTTTTTATAAATATTTATTATTGTTATATAACATTGCTAAATAAATACTTAACAACTTACAGATTATATTATAATTATTAATTATAGATTGTTATATATCTTAAATCTTTTATTATATATCTGTACTGTTAGTGTAAAATAGTAAAACTTACTATTTATAATTATTGCTCATTTTTGCATACATTACTTTAAAAAAGAAATTCACCTTAAACTAGGACTTCTTGATTCCAATTTTCCTCTGACTGTTATTTACAAAATAAAAACAAAAATAAAGATTTGATATCACCACATTTACAATATCTATCTGTACAAGCGAAGTTAAAACCTACACATCACCTTCACAGCAGATGTAAATATGGGTAGAGAAAGTTCATTTGCATACACACACAACTGCATTTAGTACCAGCCATAACAAGAACAGTTTATGTATTTGCAAATTTTCTTCCACCGAGTTTGTTATTACAAAGTATGACTCTAGATGGCAGCATACACTTAAATTTCAATGCATCGGGGAAAAAGTAATAAATGATTGCACCAGATACAAGATTATAATTCAGTTCGATTTTCACAGGAAGGCCAGCTGAGTAAGTATTATACAGAAAATAATATTTAGTGCATTTAATACGCAATAAAATGAAGTGAATTGTTGCTGATTCATGGCACTTTGACCAAGCTTTGACCTCATCTTTAGCGCCTTGGCTAGGTTTAATGAATGTATTAATTCAAAGCAATGGAATGGAACAAATATTAACACATAAAACTGTGTTTAAATTAGAATACATACAAAACAATATGTTTTAAATGTTTCATTTATTATGTCAGATAACCATAGGCTATTATATTATTTGTCATTGAGCAAATCTATTGACTTGTGGTTAAACTTGATGCTTACACATTATTTATGTTGTCCACACATTCAAATGAGACCTATATAATGCATCAAGACAGACACAAAGAATTAACAACTCTTAATACAACTGTTAATGCTTTCAGGAAGTCAAGTTCAAGCTTATATTTATATATAACTTATAGAAACACGGTCAGTAGTCAAGTTTAAAGAAAAAGTGCAGCCATTGTCAACAGTTTTCACAGGGGGAAAAAGCACAGAGATGTTTTATGAGTCAATATCTACAATGGGAGGACTTCTAATATATGACATTTTACAGTTTAATGCAGTTAATATTAAATATAAGCCTCATTCATTTAAAATATTATTATATTATTCATATTACATACATATGTTAAACTTTAAAATACTATCATTTTTAACATTTCCCAAAAAGTTAGATTTTTCTGGCTTCTGAATAAACAGATTTCTTATATCTGACCTCTATATCATACTCCAAATGCAAGTGCAATTATATTTTTATTGCATTTATACACAAGAAAACCTAATACCCGTCATCTGTAAGAAATGTCCATGTCTGTTCCTAGTAGGGGTTAAAGTGCTTTTTAATATTTTAAAACATAAAAAAAAAAATCCTGAAGTACCAAGAGCAAACAGGTCTGTCTGTATATGTATGTGTACGTATATATATATATATATATATATATATATATATATATATATATATATATATATAAACAGCTATCATAAAGCATTCTTAGAATATATTTTAATTAAAGCTTTATATATGTATTTTTAAATACAAGAAGATAATATTTGTTAAGGCTCTATGGTATAACCGTTAAGTCCACCTTTGGCTTGTACTTTGTTTCAAGGGTCCATTTGAAAGACACAAACCATGCAAAACTAAAGATTTATTTTGAGCAAAATTGGTGATATGTTAAGTAACTAGCTGGTGAAGTGTAAGGCAAGATCAGGAATACTGTCCAGCAGGGCTGTCAGTCAGCTTGGAAAGGGATTTTTTAAAGTGCATTTACCAATTCCCCCATGACACAGTGAAAAAGGTAACAATGACGGCACAACTAACTGTATTAACTCTAGGAACGTCTTTCAGTGTCAGTCACAAATAACAACAAAAGCATTCATTGAAAAACTGGACAAGGATCAGTCCACTTCATCAGTCATTTGGGTTGCTCTTAAAAATGGACACCTGAAACGAGAGGTCTGAATCTAAACTCTACTTTTGGTCTTTATGTTTCTCAACTTGACTGCTCGGCTCTTGGACTTTATAGTCTGCCAGGATGGCATGGGCAGTCTCTTTGCCAGTCTTCTTGACCATTGCCTTGATCCCCAGGTTGTCGATATTGAATGCGGTGATGCCCACATTGATGGCTGAGTTGACAGCGTGATCTGTGGCCTGGCCCGCTTCCGCCCCATACCTTGATTATAGATAACCCAGATGATGAAAGAGGTAATGGAATGGAATGTTTAGGACATGGACAATTTTCGAAGCAGAGCAAAGCAGTTAAACATACACGCAGGGATTCAGTCATTTCTACAGAGAAAAATCTGAACTTGATTTAAAATGCAAAATTAATCCTAAAGATGCCATAGAAAAAATTATTTTTGTGATGTGCAAAAGTTGAATTCAAAATGGCCAATATTAAGCACAGTTAGAAAGGGAAGAATGGTTGTAAAAAAATTTAGAATTAAAAAACATTATGATATTATGAGCTATATCAATGGAAATCACCATTATTTTCCACTTTTAAATATTGCATAATTATTGGAAGGATTTAAACATTAAATTGTAAACCTTCATTTTAATGAATTGTACAATACAAAAGAATTGATACTATCATTCAAAAGTTTGAGGTTAGTTATATATGTTTTTGAAAGAGGTCTCTTATATTCACCTAAACTGCATTCATTTGATTCAAAATACAGTAATATTGTGAAATACTTTTACAATTTAAAATAGCTGTTTTCTATTATAATACATTTTAAAATTTAAAATGTAATTTATTCCTGTGATGGCAAAGCAGATTTTCAGCAGCCATTACTCCAGTCTTATGGTCCTTCAGAAATTATTCTAATATGCTGGTAAGAAACATAACTTATTATCAATGCTGAAAACAGTTGTGCTGATTAATATTTTTTTGTGGAAACTGCGGTACATTTATTCAGGATTCTTTGATGAATATTAAGTTCAAAAGAACAGCATTTATTTCAAATAGAAATATTTATAAAGGTCTTTACTTTCACTTGCTTCCTTCCTGATTTTTTTTTTTTTAATCTTATTGACCCCAAACTTTTGAACGGTAGCATAAATACTATGCATCTTAGTCATATTACAATGATAATTATGTTTGCCATCCGATAAAACCCGGAAAAACCTTCTGTTGATGCAACAGTATAATTAAAGTCAGGCTTAAAAGGTTCAAAAGTTAAGAAAAATAAGGCAATAAAGACAATGAGATTAATTACTTTTGGCTGTTAGGAACACATATTCATTCCATCACTGAGCTGTGGATCATTGCACACAGCAACACAAGATGCTAACGGAAGTGATTTAATCATTATGTCCTATAAATCATTAGCAATGCGTGCAAGCGCTGACTGATTCAGACCAAAATGAGCTTTAGCCATGCTCGTGACTAATTACAGCCATTTTACAGGGTGCAGGGAAAATGTTTCTACTTGTTTTCATTTGGGGTGTCTGAAATGTTCTCCAGACCCCTAAATCTGCAAACAAATATACGGGAAAGAAACTAGCGTGAGTGCAGTTTATTTTTCTGATCAAAGTTACTGGTGAGAAACTGCAAATGCAGTTAAAACACTGGTATGATGAACTTTAAAGCAGGTGGAATAAGACCCTTGTGTAGTTACTTACTTATGTTTTACCGTGGTAACCGTCTCTGCAGCAACACTCTTTGCAATGTTCTTTGCTGCAACCTCCAACCCCGTCCACATCGTTGCAAATCCTGACAAAATAGAGCATCAAACATTACAGTTAAAAAAAAATTGTGGCATTATTTAATTTTCAAGAACAAAAGTGACAGTAAAATATTCCTATTTCAAATAAATGCTGTTCTTTTGAACTTTCTATTCATCAAAAAATCATGAAAAAAATGTATCACTGTTTCAACACCTGTTTTCAATATTGATATGAGGCTTAATAAGAAATGTTTTGAGCATAAAATCATATTAGAACGATTTCTGAAGGATTATTTGACAAGGAAGGCTGATGCTAAATATTTGCTTTGCCATCACAGAAATAAATTCAATTGTAAAATAAATGTAAAAAGTAGACAATTATTTTAAACTGTAATAATATTTCACAATATTACGGTTTTACTGTATTTTTTATATTTCACAATATTACTGTTTTACTGTATTTTTTTATATTTCACAATACTACTGTTTTACTGTATTTTTAATCAAATAAATGCAGCCTTGATGAGCATAGAGACTTTTTTTCAAAAACATAAAAAAAATGGTACTGACCCCAAACTTTTTGATG